TTGACACTGAATGAGTATGACATAACATTGGATACACCACAGCCTTCACCTCTTACTAATAAGAGTTCAAAGGTTGAGAAGTTAGAGTTTGAAAGATGGACAAGAGCTAATAAAGTGGCATTGTCAATTTTGGAGAGTGGGATGATGGACATCGTGCATGGAGGCATCAAAAGGTGTGATCTTGCAAATGACTATTTCAAAGCTATTAAGAATAAGTTCAAGGAATCACAGAAGGCTGAAATTGCTCAGTACATGACTCTTCTCACAACTTACAAGTTTGAAGGGGGTGGTTCAATAAGAGATCATATTATGAAGATGACAGATGTGGCTGAAAAACTGAATTCATTAGATATGAATATTTTGTGAGAAACAGCTGGTGTTTATGATCCTGCAAGCACTTCATTTGAAGTTCAATCAACTGAAAGTCTCCTACAACACTCAAGATAAGTCATGGTCAGTGGATGAGCTTATATCTCAGTGTGTTCAAGAGGAAAATCGACAGAAGATGGACAGAGGTAAAGATGTTGAGGCTATCAAATTTGTGCAGACATCTAGAAAGAAGGACTTTAATGCAAATTTTGGTAATACTTCTAAACCCAAACACCTTGATAAATCTTTTGTGCCTGCTAAGAATTTCAACTCCTCTAAGTCTAACAATTTTAAGGTCAAAAGTAAAAACATAGAAAATGTTAGGTGTCACCATTGCACAACTAAAGGTCATTATAGAAAGGATTGTGAAATATTCAAGAAATGGCTGAGGGCTAAGGGTAGGACTAATGTATATGTCTGTGAGGAATCAAATCTCATTTAAATTCTTGCAAATTCTTGGTGGTTTGATACTGGTGCATCTGTGCATATAACGAATTCACTACATGGTGTTGAAAAACAAAACAAGCAAATGCATATAATGTTTATGTTGGTGAAGGAACCAAAGTCATAGTTGAGTCTATAGGAAGGGTAAAACTCAAATTATCTTTTAGCTTTGTGTTAGAATTGTCAAATGTGTTATATGTGCCTGCAATGAAAAGAAACCTATTATCTACATCTAGGTTAGTAAATGAAGGTGTCACTTTCAGAGGTAACAAAGAATGCATGAAATTTTTCAGTAGAGGGTCTCTAATAGGAAAGACTGTTTTACATGATCACTTGTGGAAAATGCAGTGCACGGTATTGATTATTGAATTAAGTGTTTTGAACACAATTGCCAAAAGAATGCATAACTTTGACAATTCCTATATGTTGTGGCATAAAAGACTAGGACATATTTCGAAATATAGGATCATGCAATTGTCAAAGTTAAATTTTATACCTGCATTAGATTTTAATGATGCATCTAATTGCATTGATTGTTTGAAAGGTAAAACCACCAATGTTAGGAAATTGGATGCAAATATAAGTAAAAATTTACTTGAGATAACACACACATATGTTTGTGGACCTTTTCCTGTCAAAACCATTTGTGGAAATTCATATTTTGTGAGTTTTATAGATGACTACTCCAGACATGGTTACATTTTTCTAATAAAAGAAAAGTCAACATTTCTTGAGTGTTTTAAAGTTTTTAAATGTGAAGTAGAAAAACAACTAAATCTTGAGATTAAGATTGTTAGATCAGATAGGGAAGGAGAATATTTTGGCAGGCACATAGAAGCAGGGCAATAGAAGGGTCCTTTTGCACAATTTCTTGAGCTACAAGGCATTGTAACTCAGTATACTACTCCGGGAACACCCCAACAAAATGGAGTGGCTGAGAGAAGAAACCGAACCTTGATGGGAATGGTTAGAAGTCTCATTTCAAGATCAAAGTTGCTTGGTTTTATGTGGGGAGACGCATTAAGGACATCAAACTATGTGTTGAACCGAGTGCCTACAAAATCAATGCCAAAAACACCTTTTGAGCTATGGACTGGCAGAACACCAAGTTTCAATTATTTCCATGTGTGGGGTTGCAAAGCAGCAGTTAGGTTTTACAACCCAAATGAAAGGAAGCTCGATTCTAGAACCAGTTCATGCTACTTTGTGGGATATTTAGAGAAATCGAAGGGTTTTAAGTTATATTATCCTCAAGCACATACAAGGATTCAAGAGACTTATAATGCAGTTTTCTTAGAAGACCAAGATGTATCAGACTTAGTGCATGACACTTTTGAGTTTGAAAAATCAGAACAACTCGATGGCTCGGTTCCAATGGACTACAACCATATCTCAGTGTTGCCTAGAAATCAGACAGAGGAAGAAGATCTTGATGAAGGAATGACTCATGAAATAGTTGCTGAAATACAAAATGAACATCGAGATACTTCTTCTGCACGAGATATATCCCCAAGTGCTCAAAGTTCTCACATTGAGAAAGATACATGTCAAGTAAGTGATTAATTTTATATGAGGAAATCAAGTAGAGCCAAGAAACCTGTAATTTCAGCCGATTATGTCTATCTTTAAGAGGCAGAATTCGACATAGGTGACATAGATGATCTAGTTACTTATCAACAAGCAATTCAATGTCCTCAAGTTGCATTATGGAAGAAAGCAATGGTGGAAAAGCTGGATTCCATGGCCAAGAACAAGGTCTGGATCCTTGTGAACTCCAATTCAAATGCTAAACCAATCGGTTACAAGTGGGTTTACAAAACTAAAAGGGATGCTGCAGGGAGAATGGAGAGATACAAGGCTCAGTTAGTAGCCAAAGGCTTTACTCAGAGAGAAGGGATTGATTACAATGACACGTTTTCACCTGTTTCTTCCAAAGATTCTATAAGGATCATCATGGCTTTGACATCTCATTTTGATCTGGAGCTACACCAGATGGATGTTAAAACTGCTTTTTTGAATGGTGATTTAGAGGAAGACATATACATGGTCCAACCTCCTGGATTTTCTGAAAGGGGGAAAGAGAATATGGTTTGCAAGCTAAATAAGTCAATTTATGGACTTAAACAAGCATCTAGGCAGTGGTTTCTTAAATTTGATCAAGTAGTTACTGCTCATGGTTTTGTTGAGAACAAGATGGATGATTACATATATTTAAAACACAAAGGATCAAAGTTCACCTTTCTGGTCTTGTACGTTGATGATATTCTGCTTGCAAGTTCTGATATGCAATTACTTCGAGAGACCAAGACTGTTTTGAGTACCAATTTTGAAATGAAGGATTTAGGGGAAGCACATTATGTTCTAGGGATTGAAATAACAAGAGACAGAAAGAGAAAACTTCTGGGGATGTCTCAAAAGGGATACATTGAAAGGGTATTGAACATATTTAATATGGAGAAATGCAATAAGGCAGATGTTCCAGTTAATAAAGGTGACAAGTTTTCTAGAGATCAATGTCCTAAGAATGAGAATGAGGTCGAATTGATAAAGTTGAAACCTTATGCCTCATTAGTTGGAAGCATTATGTATACTAACATTTGTACAAGGCCTGACTTAGCATTCATTGTTGGAATGTTAGGAAGTTTTGAATCAAATCCAGGAGAATCTCATTGGGTGACTGCAAAGAAAGTGTTAAGATACGTGCAGAGAACAAAAGCTTATCAGTTAGTTTATGGCAGAGATGGTACTTTAGAATTGGTTGGGTTTACAGATTCGGATCTTGCTGGGGATGTAGATGAGAGGAAATCAACTGGGGGTTACATCTTTATGCTAAATGGTGGAGCTATCTCCTGGAAGAGTGCTAAGCAAACAATAGTGTCTACTTCTACAATGGAGGCTTAATTTGTTGCATGTTTTGAAGGAATGAAACAGGCAGTGTGGTTGAGAAATTTTGTTGCTGAGATGAAAATTGTTGACTCAGTTAAAAGGCTTTTGAAGATGTTTTGTGACACTAATGCTGCTGTGTTTTCTCCAAGAATAATAAGAGAACTTCGGCTTCAAGACTAATGGACGTGAAGTTTCTTAAAGTTAGAGAAATAGTGAAGAAAAGAGAGATTGAAATTGTGTATTTATCTACTGAGAACATGATTGCAGATCCTCTTACTAAAGCCTTGCCAAACAATGCGTTTAAAGCACATGTTACTAGAATGGGAGTTTTAGAAGCTTTTGATAAGTGGGAGTGAGCAAATTCGAGATTGTTTTGAAGCTGCAGTGTTGTTAATGTTACCGCATTTGAAGATTTCTCAAGTTAAGTTAGTTATGACATGCTGGTATCTTTTCTTAGTTAGTTTTCTAGCTTGACTTTTGTTTTAGTTTTTATCTGTATTCAATTTTTCCGTTTTGTGATTAATTGTTTCAGAAAGCTAGTATTGCAATAAAATAGTTTGAGTTTGTTAGTAAATCAGTTTGTGGTTTCACTGAAGTATACTTTGGAACTATTTAGTGTATTGTTCTGTTTTGAATGGTTCTTGTCATTAAGGCTGAGATTGAGACTATGATTGAGTTGAAATTGGCTTAAATGAGTGGGAGTAATAAGTATTAGCATTGCTGTAATTGTTTTCGTATAACTGCAAAATGCAGATTTGGATATGTTGTGATTCTTGGATAAAGTCTAAGACTGTGCAGATAGATTCCGAGAGTTCTATATTTTGATATGCATAGGCAAGTTTGAATGCAAAGATGAAAGCTTTATTCTGGACTTAGTGATCACTTCCATGATTCGTTTGGTTAATCATTGTGTCTTCATACTCAAGTGGGAGAATGTTAGATTGTGAGTATGAAGCATGTTTGAGGATTAGCTATAATATTGGATGAATTCTTGTATGGAAAAGTCTTGGTAAGGTGTTCGGATAAATCCTATTTCTTATAGGATTATAAGTGCTTCTAGTGTTCCTTTGGGAAAAGGATTTGGATTCTGCACTGATTGATCTTGTACACTCATTGTGTGAAACGGTTTTGTTTTAGAGTTCCACTTTAATCTAATAGGAGAATGAGTTGGATTAATGCTATATATAACCCCGATCACTGCTCTTACAAAGATCACGGTTCATCTTGTATTGAATACCTATTATTCAAAGAGCTCTCTAGTTTTGCTAAAGAGGAGAATATTGTTTGGTTGTGAAGCTGTTATGGCTTATTCGAATTCAAGTTCTGCAGGTATGTTTTCCACTGATTTTATATTCAAGTTTATAGTTTTGTCATTCAGTTTAATTGTTGGAGTATTGGTGATTTACTGGCATATCAATGATATGTGATATAGTTCTTACATATTGGCACTCCAAATTGTATATATATTGTAACATAATCTAAACTAGTAAGTTTATCAATTCTTTATCAATAATATGTTATTAATGTGGTTCTTAAAGTTGCTTTTGTTACTGAATGTGCATAGAGGTGATAGAGAAGTATGCTGAAGCAACATCTGAGCAGGTTGTGGACATTGGGAAGAAGTTGGCAGAAAGTCTAGGGGTGGCCAACACTGATTTCCACAAGGGATGGCCTTGCCAATTCATGACGAACAAATACAACTTCTCTCCTGCATCAATGGGGTCCCTTGGTCTACAAGAACACACAGATTCTGGATTTCTAACAATTCTTCAAAAAGATGAAGATGTTGGTGGTCTGGAAGTGGTGAACAAATTAGGTGCCTTTGTGCCTGTTCATCCTTGCCCTGGCACTCTCTTTATCAATCTTGGGGACTTCGCTTAGGTATTACGTCGATACTTTATTTATGTCATATCAAGACTATCTTGAACTATTTGCTATAAATACATCAGGAATATATCGACGTGGCTGTTTGATACAGTAATATTGCTATTAGATAACACCGTGTTGTTGATATTTTTATACCAAGGTTTGGAGCAATGGGAGGTTGCACAATGTGAGGCATAGAGTAAAATGCTCGGAGGCTAGTATTCGAGTTTCGATCACCACATTTCTCAGCGGACCAAAAGAGGAAGCGATAGAAGCTCCGCTGGAACTGGTAGATTCGGACCACCCTCGTCTCTACGTCCCTTTTGTTTACGACAATTATAGAGTTAGCAAGTTCAAATTGCTCGAAAAATTACAGGCTGATAAAGCCCTTGCACTCTTACGCATCCCTTCCTAATTTGGTGATATGTGTGTGGCAAAGTTTAGCTGCCATATATGATATATCGTTCTCCCCTTTAGAGCATCTCAGTGGAGATGTCAAAACGTCAACAACATATGCTTAATTTGTATTTGATAGCTCAGTCGACATTGAAATAACATCTTTAAATTTTTGTTCTTCAGTTGAGACGTCAACTTCTAATTTTCTTTGTTCCAGTGGGACCTCTACATATATAAAATATGTTACATTTAATTTTTGGGGAGACTTAGACCAATGAAAAAGAAATAAGTTGCTTTGGAAGTGGTGCGATGGCAAGTGCCTTCGCCCATGAGCGGTAGGTCTCGGGTTCGAGACTTGGGAGCAGCCTCTCCATAAATTGGGGTAAGGCTAGCCGACATTCACCTCTCCCAGATCCTGCGTAAAGCGGGAGCCTTGTGCACTGGGTACGACCTTTTTGGAAGTGGTGGACATATTTTAAGGGGTGTGATATTCACACACCTCATTTTACTTCTCATACACATTTTTAATTTTCGACCATTGGAACAGATGAATTGAAGAATATCAAAGGACATAAATTATCAAAAGGTGTGCGAGAAATAAAATTGAATATGTGCATAGCACACCCCTATTTTCAAAGTTATAATGAAGGATTTGAAGCTAGCAACTTAATGTCAAACTCCACCTCAGCTTAATCAGATCAGTTGGGAGAGACATATACTGTAAAAAACTAATGTTAGAGCCTCCACTTTGAAATTGAAGTTTCGATTGGAGATGCTCTTATCATAAATACATAAAATAAATGTAAATCGAATCGCTTCTGTAAGACACATTGAAGAGGTGGAGAAGTATGGAATGAATGGTGAGTGGTGCTGCAGAGGAATAACACGGTGCAGAGAAATGAAGCGGTGCTGCAAAGAAATCTCCCTAGCATGCCACGTGTGCAAAACTTTTCTCCATATACACGTATGCATATAGGGCAATTTAGGGATTTCACTGTAGAAGCACAAAAAGTAAAAACACAGAAACACTAAAAGTCAAGGCAAAAACGTCAAAACACTATTGCTTATGAAAAGTGTTTTCTCTTTCCGCTTTAGTATATATAAATTTATAATTTTCTTTGGACATGTTCCATTATCCAGTTTAATTTTTTTTTTCTACCTTTTCTCATTGCATATTAATTCTACTAAACATTTTATAGTATTAGTGGATTTGACGTCAGTATCAAAATGTTTGTCACATTATATAGCACTAAAATATGGTATGACGAACATTATTGATATTTAACACGTAAAATTCTCATCTAATCCGAGAAAATGAAAAGAGAATGATATTGGTACTCCAAATTGTATATATATTTGTTTGGACTAGATTTTACACCATCGGCCCAAGCGATTGAGGTCGTTGAATGAGCATGGTTCTTGACCGTCGGATAAGCAAGTTAAGATATGTTATTGTTAAGAAATAATATTATAGGTTTTAATCATAATAGTTATCTTTATCTCGGTTTTCTTGTACAAAATAAGTGGGATTCTCATTATCATTAATGGGAAGCAGTAACAACAGAGTTCAGATTACCTTGGATCTGATATCATCTAAAGAAATTAGTAGTCACGGATATGATGGCATAGGAAACCTAGGTAGACTAGGCTTTTTGTTTTACTTGGTGATGGATGTGGCAGAAGGTTAGCCATGCCGTGGGAAAGGCTATCAGATATATATATATATATATATTTGGTGGTTGCCGTACATTTTGGCAGTCTACATGCCATGGGAAATGTGCAAACTATATATATTTGGTGGTTGTCGTACATTTTGGCAGTTTACATGCCATGGGAAATGTGCAAACTATATATATATAATTGGTGGTGGTTTAGGTGAAGGTTATCCAAACAACGTGATCTTGGGATTTGATGTGATAAGGCTAAGCACAAGGATTGAATTGGGTTGCATTTTTGGCTAAGTTCAGAGTCTTGGGAATGGTAAGGCTTATTTGACGCAATTAGTGGAAGAGTTCTAATACATGACAGAAGCCTATATCAGCTTATCAACCAACGCGCATATGTCCCTATAAATATAGAGGTGGTGACAACGGAAAAATGACCGACAACTCAACACACAAACTGCCTTGCGCAAACCCTCGCTCTACGTGAAACCTCTCAAACATCTTGAGATTTTTTATTTTCTTTTTCGCTAACACATCTTCAGTTTGGATAAACAGCACTGTGAAGGCAACCGGCGAACATCTTCAATTTGGATAAACAACACTATTGCCGTATAATCAGCCGACCGCGGAGCACCTTCAGTTTGAATAAACAGCACTGCGTCGAGGCTAACTGGTTATCTATCCAAGTCTCGGTTGAGAAGGATTTCGAATCCTTATTGGTAGAGATAATCTCATTAGCCTTTTCGGCGAAGTGAGGTATTACAAGTTATTACATTCGGCACATTGAAAGCTGAATTTGATATTGAACTTTGCAGAACTAGTAGCCTTGTCTTCAGGCTCTAGAACCTGAAGGCCGAGAGTATTCCTTCCTTGGCTGCAGTCACGAGATTCAGAAGTCAGCAGCGCACCCAACGCAATATCAACAAGTTTAACTCGTCGACCTAGCTTGGCCAACGAGTTGGTATGCCCCGCAAACAACTGAAGGACGTAGTTAGCTTATTAGTTACTCGGCCTGTGCACCACATAAGCTTAATAGATTTTAGGGCCAACAATATTGTAACTTTAGTGCGGTCTTCGAATGAGGAGTGATAAATTTACTAAGGGCTATAGTCATAGTGATCCTCTAGAATAACTAGTTAATTCAAAACATTATGCATGTATGATGTAGCAATGTAGTGGCTAGTGGATGGAAATTGGAAAACTCCCAAACCACATCATGGTAGCGAACCATTATTGTGGAGCCAAAAATATTCACAAGGCGACACGTGGATTTTTGGACAAAAAGGACAAAAATACCCTTGCAGTACAACGAGGTTCCTACGCGCAAGCAGCGGGCAACCCTCTTTCAACCAAGACAGAAGTGCCCAAAATAGGTAACAATTCAAAGTCCATCTCATCAAATCCTATCTACAAGGTAATTCCCAAACACATTCCTTTTAAATTATGTTAATTGGCTAATTAATGGGTTTATTGCCTAATTAACCCATTAATTGTCAATTAAACCATCCATTATATCCAAATAACCACAAAATACATCCAATTCAACCCTAAAACACCACATGGCCGGCTATCCCCATTCAAAACCTAATCCATCACTTTTTCTACCTTTTTCACCATTTCTTCCTTTTTATTAGCCAATTAATTCCATAACCACAAAAATATTTCCTTTTATGTTTAATTAGCCAATTAATTGGCTAATTAAACCAAAATAAAACCTAAACCAACCTAGCCCTATAAATAGGCTCATATTTTCACCAAATATTCATTCCAACACTTTGGCAAAAATCCCAAAATTCTCTAAACACTCTTTCTCTCTAAATTCTAACTTTGGCATCGGAGGTTCTTCGGCCAAAGCTCCCCCATTCATCGTGGGCGCGTGAGGCTCTTGGCCTTAACCTAAGGTGTTAATTGTTTTGTAGGTGCAAAATTGTCCAAGATCAAGGAGGAAGAAATTTGCATCCACAAATTGGTGCTTTCATTGAGAGTTGAAATCCATACTCGTAGAAGACTCTCGCACAAAACGGTTTTTTCTTTATTTTCTAGTCCATTTGAATATTTTTCATACGTTCTTATTATTAGAATTTTTTACTTGCAAATGTTCTTTGATAAAACGTATAAGCAAAATATAATGGCTAGAAATTTAGAAAATTCCACAAGTGAAAATTCTAATGTTCAAGAAATAGGATTGCGGAGATCCGTGAGGCTAAATGCGACAATAAGTGGAGCAGCACCACCACCACGAGTTTCCACCATGGGAACCACCGCGGTGGCTACCTCGGTAGCCACTCGTGGCGAGGTCCATAGTGCCTTCACCACGGCTCGAGCCGTGCCATCCAAGGCTCATGATACCAAAGCCACGACCCAAGTCGTGCCATCCAAGTTTGCACGGGCTTGGGCCCAAGCCTCGCATTCGTTTGCATCACATTCTAAGCAGCCTGCTCCCGCCAAGCAACCTGCTTTCGCGGCCCAGCCTGCTCCCGCCAAGCAACCTGCTCTCGCGGCCCAGCCTGCTCCTGCCAAGCAGCCTGCTCTCGTGACCCAGCCTGCTCCCGACGAGCAGCTTACTCCCGTGGCCCAGCCTACTCCCGCCAAGCAACCTGATCTCGTGACCTAGCCTGCTCTCGACGAGCAGCCCACTCTCGTGGTTCAGCATGCTTCCGTCGAGTAGCCCACTCCCGTGGCCCAACCTGCTCCTCCCAAGCAGTCTGCTCTCGTGACCCAGCCTGCTCCCGACGAGTAGCCCACTCCCGTGGTCCAGCCAACTCCAGTCGAGCAGCCCACTCCCGTGGCCCGGCCAGCTCCAGTCGAGCAGCCTACTCTCACGGCCCAGCCTGCTCTCATGGCTTTCCAAGCAGCCCAAGTCGGCCCAAGACTATCTCAACCATCTGGACCTAGCATCGAGCCGGGGGCATTCTCACCACATTTTTTTGCGGATTTGACATTTCCCAACTCAAATCTCACGCCCGGAGTTTACCACCCTTCCACTGCCCAAAGAGGCGCATTCATTCCAAGCTCTTCCAATCCAAATGGCGAACAATACTTGTCTCGACAAGTCATAGAGTTGACGAGCACCCTTGCATAACAGACAACCTTGGTGAATCAACTTTTGCAACGCATCGGGATCCAATGTGCCCCAGACGAGGTATCCCGAAGTAGGACAAGGGCAGACAGACCTTTCCAGCAGCGTCCCGGCAAGCAGCCACTCGACCGGCCACGAGCCGAACGTTTGGGCAATGTATATTCCCGTCTTAGCGCGCGGAGGAGCATGCACTCTCGACTAGGGCCACGGATGAGCATACATTCACGGTTGGGGTTATACTCCGATAGTCAACATGAGCAACCTTCCGGGCAAAGT